GTGTGTACGCTGCTCATCGGGTGATTGATCGTCGTTCGTTAGGCAAAAATTTACTAAAGCGTATGTTGAATTGTTATTTGACTTTAAGAAAAAGTTTTATCCAATGCTTTCAACAAGAGCGGCTTTCGCACTTATCGCAGTAGCTTTTTAATCTCCGATTCGTCTGTTTGTTTCCAATCGCTGTTGTTGTTTGGAAAATTTCAAAAAATTATAAAAAAAGAATGACAGTTTTAGAGGATGAAAAATTTCAGAACATCAACTCGGGCCATGAATCAGTGAGTATCAAACAAGCCGAAATGTTAAACACCAGACTGCAGCATGTTGAGCAAGCATTTATTGCGGAGCAAGGAATTTACGACGAACGAGCGGAATACCGCCATCTGATATTCAGCAGTAGTACTTATAACGAATACGGGAATTTTCCATTTGCTAGTATCCTAGATCCAGCACTGAATTGGCGCAATGCCTTTGTTGCTGGCGATTCGCAAAAAGCGGATTACTGGCTGAAGATCGTCAGAATTGGATTTTCTAAGCTCCATTATGCTATCGAATCAGCAACACTGACCATAACTATGGACGGTTTTTATGACTGACCACCGGAAAAGGAGTTTTTTGTACGTCTGTTGTTGCACCTCAGGCACTGCAACCGCTGATAGCAGTGACTGTTTCAGGCTATCAAGTGAGCTGCACTAAAAATATGGCCAAATTTTCCAAACAATGTGAATCTCGTGTTTCTCATGATACTGTTCTCATGGTCTAATATATTTTCAGCCACACTTTGATCAGCTACAGCTCACAGTGCTATGCATTTGGTAATTTTAATTGTAGCTTTGTTCAGTGCTCATCATCTGATAATCAGCCAGTTGAAGGAGCTTAATTTTTGTTCATCTTCTGGACGTTTACCAGCTCCGTGGTTCCTTTTCGTCTTCGGTTCTCCCCCTGAAATTTCTTACAATCGCGATTTCAGGTCATTACTTTGATCTTACTTCCTGAAGAAAACTTTAAAATAGGGCAACCTGCACAAGATATATGCATTGTATTCAATTGATCGAATCTCATCTTTCGCTACTACTCAAAACAAATCTCTTTTTCGTTTGTAGCATTTTATTACTCACTTCACATCATGCGTAGCTACGATCCGGACAATCATGCTGTTCTGCATTTCTTCATCCTCGCTACGGAGCCTCAGACTACTTTTTTTGCCAATAGTGCTTTTGTAAAAGGTCTTTCAAGTCCGATCAAAATTTTTGGGAAGAATGACGTTTCCCTGCTACTAGCAATTAAATGAACTTCTCTGCATTATCCATTAAACAGATATGCGGAGTAGGCAGGTAGGTAAACAGCAATCAAAAATTCATATGAAAAGTCATCCATCGCATGTCTAAAAGTTGTAAACAACTGGCTGCAGCTGCAGTTTGTGTTGGCAGACAGTATCTGAGCATTTTTTTTTTTTTTGAAAGCTCGTTCAGCTGTTCTTGAAAGCTGATCGAGGCCCCAAAAAAGATGTAATCTGTTCAAAATTCAGCTCATTTCACCGGATATCGTGCCCTTTTGAGCAAAATCCCGCTCTGCTGTTTTTGCAAAAAACTGATTCTCAGCAAATCAAAATTCGAATTTAATGATCCCCCATTTTCTCTTTTTTTCACAGTTTGGCGCTCCTCTGCTCCGGTTAGTTATTGAATTCATGCAGTTAAATTTAGCAACCTAAAAAGCTTAATTTACATGTTTGCTCCTCGATCTGCATTTCATCCTGGGCTACAGCAGTTCTTCTCAAGCGCCAAGAGCAGTGCAGTCTTTCACGTTATGATGATACCAGTGAAATGTGTGCATATCACTAATGTATTCTATAGTGTTAACAATTATCAATTTCATATGTAATGAGCTTTCATGTTAGCATTTTATCACTGCCAAATTATTCTGTATGACAAATTTTTCCTGTGTAAAACTTTTTTTCATGCTTTTTTTTTTTTAAATACTGCTCACTAATAACGGTTAACTGCATATATACTTTTGTAACAATGAGTTCTCCAAAAAACTGCTCTTCTGGAAATTCTCACAGGTTTTTCTGCAGCTTTTATTGAAATAGCTTAGTAGCAACTATTTTTTTGTTTATCATATGGTGCTTTAATCAGAAAAACTGCCAATAAATACTTGAAAAGGAAGTAACCGTTGCACTGTACTAAAAGCTACTTATGT